ACATTTGTTCTTTTGTTTCATTCAGCATTTGTTCTTTCTCAAGTACAGTCCAACATCTCGTAGGAAGCTCCTTTTTTGTAATCAGGCCTTCGGCTGTTGAATTCCGAATGACTCTAACCATTGGCAATCCCTTTTCGTATTCGGAGTACATATCTATCATGGCATTCAACTGCTTAACATCTTTTATATGATGGACCAAGATAGTCTCGGCAAAGAAGTGGATGTCCAGATCCTCGTAAAAGTCATGGAAGGGATTTTGGCGGTTGGACACCCAACGTGTAAAGCCAATATATTTCACAAAGTACTTTTTCTCCCTAGCTACGTGACATACCCACTCACCCACTCTCCAGTCCTCATCGTCGTAGACATTTGAACTAGCCCATTCTGATCTAGCAATATCTATAACGAGGTCGCGGGAGAGTGTGTATCCAGCACCTTATTTCGAATGTAAGAAAAGTAAATCAAAAAAAGTTCATGAAGCATTGATAAAAAAGGAATATAAAACACACCTCCCATATACGTGTATGTTCCATCTTTATATCCTAGAGCATTGCCATAGTACGCACGTTCTCTCGGTAAGTCTTGAAGGTCACGGTAGTAATGAATCAAGTGGAGGAAAGTGTCATCATCCATTTTGAGCATATAATTATCCTTCCTCTAAGCGTATTCAAAATAATGAATGCTTATTGACGCACTCAGACTCATAACAAGACAAGAATACTCACATGTTTAGCAAACCAACTAAAATATTCAAACGTCTTTCCATCGTTCATGTTTTCTGTGATATTTAAAATGACAATATCCCCGTACATTTTAGACTCTTTCTCCAGCTTATCTTTATTTTCATCTGTTGGCAGTCCCAGGATAAACCTAATCGTCACGGGCGATTTCTTGACTCCGAGATACCGCGCCAGAGCGTCATTACTGTGTGTATATAACTTGCGCAAGGATTCCCTAACCTCAATATTCTCAAAATAGGTCAAAATTCCGATAAAGATCGTTAAGTTCTGGTCCACCCCTTGAGGAGGTTGGATATAGGTATTATCTGTTATATGTGATAGTGGGGTTGTCGATTTTGAGTAATATGAAAGGCAATAAAATAAATAGAGGTTGAGACCAAGGATGAAGTAACTGACGCAGTATTTATAGGTCTTGTTCATTTTGTTAAAATCATAAATCTCGAAGTAACGATACAATCGTTTATATTGAATTATGCAGATTCTTGTGTCACATTAAAATTCGTTGTGCATGTATTGATTGTTTTTTTTTATAAATTGTGATTAATTATGTGTACAAATCAAATGGCATGTTTACAACCGTTATAAGGGTTACATTCAAAGAAGTATTGTATTTAGAAGAGTTGCGTGTAGAGAAGTCTAACTGCACGTCATATTTCTGGTTATACTAATCACGTGCACAAGTTAGAAAATTTCATAATGAAATAACAGTGATTTTTAAAAATTTTTAAAGTTCAACATAGCCAAGAATCGTTATAAAAAAGCAGGTGAAGAGAGTTATTTATTTTTGAAATTTCTTTGGTTAATCAATCTTTGGGAATTTCGTCAATCTCAATAACGAATTCTTCATTGCAGAAATAGCTTCGTTAAGCATCATTGAAATTCGATTGACCTTTTAGCTCAAAATGGTATGCAAATAAAATTAAAAATGCAAATCCATATATTTAAAACCCTTACGACGATCTCATTTTTAATAATTTAAAACCCTTATATGGCGATCTAAGTTTTTTATTAGTGCATGGTCTCAAGGTAGTACAGTTTTGAAAATCCTTGGGATCACGAAAATCGTGAAATTCTCGTAAGTCAAAGAAATAGCTATGTCCGCAAGAATACCTTACAGACACATTATTTAAGTGAATCGTAACAATAAAAAATAAAATAAAGAATAATGAGTATAGTAGAAAATTAATGTTATCTCTGTAATCACCGTATAAGAAAAATAATGCATAAAGATAATTCTTG